AACATGGGTTTATTATAGCCCACTTACAATTTACATTTCAGAGATCATTACAAATAAATTATGAAATGCTAAAACTGAATAAATTTAAATGAACAAACTTGGCGTTGCATTTGCAACCATGTGAAAACGGGGTGCTGCAGCCCCCTCAGCATACCCCTACTTCCCGGGTCCCTGGATCTGTGAGATATAGACTTGCAGTTCTGAAGAAAAAGGCAGAATCGCGAGATAAACTTCAAATTCTGACTTTTTCCTCGCAATTCCGTTTTTTTTCTGCCACAGAATAAAAAAAAATAAAGGTGAGTTTTTTTCTTGCAATTGTGAATTCTTATAATTGTGAGTTTATATCTCGTAATTTTATCTAATTCTGATATAAACCCGCAAAAAAAGTTAATTGTAATATATGAACAAAAAAAAAGATGATAAAAAAACACAATTACCCTTTTTATCCTGTAGTGAAAATGGGCTTCCATACATTTCATACTAAAACCAAAAGGAAAAATATATATATATATATATTCCTTTTGCATGAACGTACTTTATTTAAATAAATGTGCTTAATTGTCATGAAAAAAAAAAGAGGTGAAAAATTTGTAGGTGAAATACAATCTAGACATCCTTGACCAATTTCATGAAATTCACCCTTTAAAGACAAAAGACAGTAACAGTGTGAACACTATGGTTAGAGCATGACCTCTGACCTCCAAACTATAGTTCTTTTATCCTGTAGTTTGTACCTTTGGCTTTCATACTTTCCACGGTCAGTGTTGAGACTGGCTCAGATAGACGCAGAAACAAGCAACACGTCATCAGAGCATCAACAAACCCAGTCGTTTCTTATTCCAGAAAAGAAGCCCTTCTTCAGTGCAGCAAGAGACGCATGGCTTGAGAGCAAAGACAGAAACACACGCAAGTTCCTGAAGACGGAAGGTAAACCGCTCGAAATGCACCTCATCATTCAGAAAAACACTCACACAAGCTTCTCAACAGACTTCCGTCAGGGGAGCGCCATATTACATTTCTGACAGGAATGAAAATGAGGCTGTGAGGGACTGAAGTACAGCGTGTTCAATGGATTGTACTGTTGTTTAACAACAAACCCAACGTTCAGCTGACGAAACTAAACTTTCAGTAGACAAAAACTCCATAACGTCTGGGCCTCACAGCCTTGTTTTTATCCGTGTTAAACTCAATATGGCGTCTAACCCCATTAACGGCTATGAAAAGAGCGCAGATCAGACTCTCAAAGACACTCTTTTCCAACAAATAAAGAAAGTGACAGCGAGGTTTTAGAGCAGCGTATAGCTAAATTACATTCCACTATTTCTTACAAACACCAAACATGCTGCAGCAAAGGATTCTGGGTAAAGGCTGGTTTGTAGAGGCACAAACACACTTCGTTATAATCCCTGCAGAGGCCCTGCAATTTCCAAAACACGTTTTTACCATGCCTACACATTAAAATACAAGTTTGTTTGTTCGTTTAAAAGATTTACTTGTCACAAAAGTTCAGAACAAAGAATTCTGGGAGAAATATATACGAGAGACGGAGACGGTCGCTGAAGTTAATGCATTCATTTACACTCCAGCTTTGGGCTAACAAACTAAAATACGTCGGTTTTTATAAAGTGAGATGAAAATTAAATCAATACTTAAAAAAACTAAACAAATGTGCATGATAAAGCAATTGAAAAAAAATCAATTTAAAGGGTTAGTTCACCCAAAAATGAAAATTCTGTCATTAATTACTCACCCTCGTGTTGTTCCAAACCCGTAAGACCTTCGTTCATCTTCGGAACACAATTTAAGATATTTTTGATGAAATCTGAGGCCTCTCTGAACCTCCCATAGACAGCAAGGTAACTACCACGATCAAGGTCCAGAAAAGTACCAAGATGATCGACAAAGTAGTCCGTGTGTCTTCAGTGGTTCAACTGTACAGTTACGAAGCTCCGAGAACACTTTTTTATAACGACTTTATTCCCCATTTTCGTCTCTACAGCGTCACTTGTGGATGTGCGTTCACGACGGTACCATGACGCGAGCGTGTGGCGGCGCAGACCCAGATCCGGCGTGATGACGTCACAACTTTACAGTTGAACCACTGATGTCACACGGACTACTTTGTCGATCATCTTGGTACTTTTCTGGACCTTGAACGTGGTAGTTACCTTGCTGTCTATGGGAGGTTCAGAGAGGGCTCAGATTTAATCAAAACTATCTTAAATTGTGTTGCGAAGATGAACGAAGGTCTTATGGGTTTGGAACAACAAGAGGGTGAGTAATTAATGACAGAATTTTCATTTTTGGGTGAACTAAACCTTTAAAACCCATTTTATTAAATAAATCCTACACAAACTGATTTGTGCTGACTGACTCACGCTGTCAGAGGTCAAAGGTTACACTAGGTAATGCATGTAGTTACGTGAAGGGAAAAAGACTGGGAAGGACGCAGCGAAGGTAGAGGAGGTTCACGGCACTGAACCGTCTGTCGTTCCTGTCGGTTTCTCTTCGTCGCCCTGTTTTTGGTGCTGCAATCGAGCGTAGCTCACCGCGTCACCTCTGAAACACAGAAAGCACACAATCGTCCATCATTTAGTCAAAAATGGCAAAATATATTATGAAGAGTTACTCAGTGAAGAAATGTTTTGTTCTGTGCGCGAGTAAATGCAAACATGAGCTCACTTCTTTCCAAGGGATGCGAGTCCGTACAGCACTCCTGTAGCAAAAGCGATGGCGTTGCCAAACAGAGTTGTGATGGAAAAGCTCAGAAAGACGGGAAACAACGCCATCCTGAGGGACAAAGTGAAATCCCATTAACAATTGGGTTGTAGACAGTCAATATATAAATTGTAGACAGTCTATATGTAACATTTAGTCATTTAACATTTAATAGGCTTTGATACATATTTAAAGGGGTCATATGCGATTTCAATTTTTCCTTTCTCTTTGCAGTGTTACAAGCTCTTGGTGCATAAAGAAGATCTGTAAAGTTGCAAAGACTAAAGTCTCAAATCCAAAGAGATATTCTTTATAAAAGTTAAGAGTCAACCACGCCTACCTAAAACGGCTCGTTCTAACACGCCCCCACATGTCTACATCACTATGTGGGAAGATTTGCATAACGCCACCCAAATGTTCACGCAAAGAAAGAAGGCGTAACTTTTATTCTCGCTGTAGTATTGTTGCCGCCGCCGCCGCCGCCATGTCGTGAAGACGCTGTGTGTTTCGTGAAAGCGAAACTACTTTGTTTGGTCTTCCAAATGAGGACGATATCCGCTTTGTCATG